AGATGATCGCTCTTGAAAATGGGTCTCGGGTTGAGCTTCATGGGGCAGGTTGGAGGGCACAAGAGGTTGAATGACCGCTGGAAATCTCATGCACCCACAGGGCATCCATGTAGGGCATCTCTTGGCCTATCGCTTGATGGCGGGGATTCGGCTTGGCCGCAACACCCTGTCCAATTTCTTCATGGAGCTTCTCTTGCCCAGGATAGGGAATTGGGACAAATTATAAAGAGATTGGTTCATGGCCAGTGGACATCCACCATCATCACCCATCTATTCAATCACCCCTTTATCATCTGGCCCACCCTAACACATTCATCCACCCCTCCCATCTATCCACCCCTTCATCATCCATCCACGCCTCCATCCATCCACCAACCCACGACATCCCACTCAACATCACCCCACAATCCAGCCAGCCAGCCATCTAACCCCTCCATTACTCACCACGCCATCCATCCAACACCCCCATCCATTCCACCCTTCCCCATTACACTTCAACCCACCCATTCACCCTCCCATCACCCATCCCACCATTTATCCCCCACCCATCCACCATCCACCCAACCACCCATCCACCCACCTACCCATCCATCCATCCATCCAACCACCCATCATGCCGTCCAACCACCACCATCCATCCACCCATCTATCCATCCACCATCCACCCATCCCATTGACCTCATCCTATACCATCCAACCACATGCCATCCATCCCATCCATCCCAGTCCATCCACGATTACAGGCACCCACCACCATGCCAGCTGATTTTTTGTATTTTTAGTAGAGACAGGGTTTCACCATGTTGGTCAGGCTGGTCTTGAACCCCTGACCTCAGGTGATCTACCTACCTCAGTCTCCCGAAGTGCTGGGATTACAGGTGTGAGCCACTGTGTCCAGTCAGAGAAAGGTTTTAAATATATGTTTACTTTAATATTAAGTTTAACATAACTTTCATATTATTGAAAAGCTGTTCAATCTAGGATCACATCACTTCAGTTTCAGAAACATACTGAGGTGGGGAATTTGTATTAGGTTTCTCTAAAGGGACAGAAACAGTAAGATAGATGTATATACGAAGGGGAGTTTATTAGGAGAATTGACTCACACGATCACAAGGTGAAGTCCCACAATAGGCTGTCTGCAAGTTGAGGA